ATATGCTAATTTTTTGGGACAGGCATTTTGGGTTTTCATGAGCTGTATGCCATAATCATCAGTATTAAAACAATTAAAGACATGAAATATTTCAGTTGGTGTGCAATGAATCTGAAATATATGAAAGTTTCATTTTTATCATTTCTTTATGGAAAATAATGACCTTTATCACAATATGCTAATTTTTTTAGAAGGACCTGTATATATATATATATATATATATATTTATGTGTGTGTTTTTTCACACATAAATACAGAGTTGTTCAGGAGAATGTGTCTAGAGGTTGGTCTTAAGATTTTTTTTTGCATTTTTTTTCTGTTCACGTATTCTATTGGAAGATTTTTTTTTTCCCCTCATCTATAGATTGTTGTACTACATAGAGGAGGCAGACTATGATGCAGATAGTATGGTGCTCAATTGTAATGTTTATATCATAATTCTTTGCTTATAAATATTCACAGTAGCACCATCCGAGTTCAAAACTTGTCATCAGAACGAGCTTCAACAGAACAATGCTCGCACTGTCTTACCCCCTGATGTTCTGGACATTTTATTTGGGGGCTGAAACAACATCTGCACACAGTTGTGCTCTCACATGTGAACCCCCTGTAACTTCTTTAACACAGTTAAGACTTGTGTGTAGACGACGGCGTGTGTTTTCTTGCAGACAAGGCCTTGCTGACTACTTGAAAGGCTATCACAATCAAGTCAACATCTGCTTACAAAACGAGGTATGTGATCTCTGCAGAGGCCTAAAAATCTTAGAATACTAAACTGGGTTCCTGAAACAAATTTGAGACAAAGGAAACCATCACACACAATTTTAGTGGAGTTCTTTGATATTTTTATGAACTTGTAAATAGCTCTTGGAACAACCACAGATCAGAGTTTTGGTTCGTCATGATGGATAATAATAATAATAAAAAATAATAATGTTAATAAAAAAAATGTAATATTGACTGTGGTAGGAAGATTTTTAAAATAGCTTATGTATGAACCGTTACAATATATTTTAGACTGTAGCTGTTTTAAGGCTGCAGTGTTCCTCTTTGGTCTTGAATATGTTTGGCTTACCGGTAGTTAACGCTGAAGTCTTGTTGGACATAAACTCTTCAGATTGAAGTTACAGTGAGGCAAAAAAAATATTCAGTCAGCCACTGATTGTGCAAGTTCTCCTACTTGGAAAGATGAGAGAGGTCTGTGATTTTCTTCTTAGGTACACTTTAACTATGAGAGACAAAATGAGGAAAAAATCTAAGAAATCACATTGTAGGATTTTTCAGTTATGGTGGAAAATAAGTATTTGGTCAATAACAAACAAGCAAAATTTCTGGCTCTCACGGACCTGTAACGTCTTCTTTTAGAAGCTCTTCTGTCCTCCACTCATTACCTGTATTAATGGCACCTGTTTGACCTCGATATCTGTATAAAAGACACTTGTCCACAGCCTCAAACAGTCAGACTCCAAACTCAACCATGGCCAAGACCAAAGAGCTGTTTAAGGACACCAGGGAGAAAATTGTGGACCTGCACCAGGCTGGGAAGAGTGAATCTACAAGAGGCAAGCAGGTCGGTGTGACTAAATCAACTGTGGAAGCAATTGTAAGAAAATGGAAGACATGCAAGACCATTGATAATCTCCCTCGATCTGGGGCCTCACGTAAGCTCTCATCCCGTGGGGTCAACATGATCATGAGGACGGTGCTCTAGAACTACACGGAGGGACCTGATGAATGACCTCTAGAGAGCTGGACCCAAAGTAACAAAGGCTACCATCAGTAACACTACGCCAAGAGGGACTCAAATCCTGCAGTGCCAGGCGTGTCCCCCTGCTTGAGCCAGTGCATGTCCAGGCCCGTCTAAAGTTAGCCAGAGAGCATATGGAAGATCCAGAAGATGATTAGGAGAATATCATGTGGTCAGATGAAACCAAAATACAGCTTTATGGTAAAAACGAATGCTGAGTTTCATCCCAAGAACACCATACCTACTGTGACGCATGGGGGTGGAAACATCATGGGGCTGTTTTTGTGCAAAGGGGACAGGACGACTGATTCTTGTTAAGGGAAGAATGAACAGGTCCATGTATCTTAGATTTTAAGCCAAAACCTCCTTCCGTCAGTGAGAGCATTGAAGATGGAACGTGGCTGGGTCTTCCATCATGACAATGGTCCCAAACACACCGCTCAGGCAACGAAGGAGTGGCTCCATAAAAAGCATTTCAAGGTCCTGGAGTGGCCTAGCCAGTCTCCAGACCTCGACCCCATGGACAATTTGTGGAGGGAGTTGAAAGTCCGTGTTGCCCAGCGGCAGCCCCAAAACATCAGTGCTCTAGAGGAGATCTGCACGGAGGAATGGGCCAAAATAGCAGCTACAGTGTGTGAAGACTTACAGGAAGCGTTTGGTCTCTGTCATTGCCAACAAATGTTATGTTGGAAAGTATTGAGCTGAACTTTTATTGATTAAATACTTTTTTTCCACCATAATTTACAAATACATTCTTTAAAAATCCTACAAAGTGATTTCCTGGATTTTTTTTTTTCCTCACAGTCTCTCATAGTTGAAGTGTTGTGATGAAAATTACAAACTTCTCTCATCTTTCTAAGCAGGAGAACTTGAACAATCAGTGGCTGACTGAATACTTTTTTGCCCCACTGTATTCAGGAGCTGTCTACAGCAAGAAAAACAAATCTTAACATTTCCCCATAGACTCCACAGCCTCGCATTTCAAAATGGCTTAAATGATCTTGATAAAGACCTCCAGGATTGACTGTAACCGTCTCTTTAAAAAAAAAACATACATTTTATTTTTTGCAAGCTGGGATGTATGTTTTTTAGTAATAACCTGGATTTGTATTTCTGTATCCAGAGTACTCGGTACAAGACAGTGGACCGGGTGGTCCAGTGTGTGAAGAACATGTGCCTTGCTTTAGACGAGGTGGAGACTCAGGCCGTTACAGAGGCTGTGAAAAGACTTCGTCACTCCGTCAATTTACCCAGGACGCACTCCCCCAAGGTGGGCTTTTGACTAACACAGCTGTTAGATCATTTGTAGTGGTATCAAAATATGATGATGTCATTTCTAATTCGAGCATGCATTGCTTTCTAGTTGGGGTCCACATCACCTGGTCAGTCATCAAATAGTAAGTTATGTTCATGAAATGCATATATAACCTTTGTTCAGTCTGTGCTACAGAAGGTTTTGCAAGATTTTTTGCAGTTCAGAATTATTATTATTATTATTTTGATGTTTCTACGAGCTCTCGCACTGATCCCCTCTTCCGACAGGTGGCTCCAGTCCCGTGGAGGAGAGCATAGCCTTGCTGACAAAGGCCGTCTATGACCTGGCCAAGCTCTACCTGCGCTCCTTCTGTCCACCATCAGCAGCTTTCAGCCCCCCTTCTTTGCCCCAGGCTGCAACAGAAGGTGAAGAAGTGGAGGAGAAGAGCTGCAAAGAAGCTTCTGGCACCACAGACCACCTTCAGTTTACTTTGTTCGCCTTGCACGGCATTCCAGGCAACTGGGTCAGCAGGTAAACACCGGGGCACGCTGCTGAACACGTTAATTAGAATATGAAGGTCAATTACTATGTGGGGGAAAAAATTAAATGTCGTGGGTATTTTTTATTTTTTCCCTACAAGGCTGATTAGGGCTTGAAGGTTTGAATCCCTTTATTTATTTATTAATTAAACCTTGGTTTGTCTTTTTTAATATTTCATCATCTTGTCACTGTTGCAAGTGTCAGTCAACAATATTATTCCCAAGGGAAATTTAAATATTTCAGGACTGCAAACGTTGGAAATTTGTTGACGACTCAAAACTGTGATCGTTATTCAAACGTGATTTTTAGACGGGGGCATGTTTTCTGTCGGAGCTCCCATGCAGGAGTCAAAATACAACTCTTAACTCTCTATGAGTTGGAGAAACTCGCCAAAACTATTAAGGAGTTGAAACGGCAGCAATGAATGACTATATTACTATTTTGAGATACATTTTGAAAATTGTAGCCCTGCGGTAAACTTGCGACCTGTCCAGGGCGTACCCCGTCACTCGCACAGTGACTGCTGGATATGGACATCAGTGACCCCCCGCGACCTGAAAAAGGAGAAGCGGATGGATGTTCCAAGTTCAAGTGAAAAGATTCTTGACGACTTAGAAGAGAAAACAAAAAAGCAATTTCTAGACATTTTGAAGACCCCCTCTCAAATGCTGTTTTAACTAGTCACACTGTCGCAGCCCAGTGAGATACCACCTTAAGATCGATCTCACTGGGCTAATAAACCATCAAAATAAGTAGCAATAGTTTGTGTAATGGTTCATTGATTAGAATCTCATCGTACAAGCGAGTTCAGCTTTCTGTGATGCTATAATATTACGTTTTGATCTGCTTAACTGTGCTATCGTTGCACCAGGTCTGGGTTTCTTTTACTAAACCAACAGCTTTGGTGTGGTTGTCCGTGTCTCATTTTTCCGCTGCAGTGTCTCATTTCATTTGGATTTCGGTGTACGGAGCTGAGCTGAGCCAAATGATCTGTTCCCAGCTCTGTTACGCAGTGACCAAGACTGGAAACGAATGTAACGCGTAATAAAAGTTGATTTACATTCTTTTATTTTTGGGTTGAGTTGCAGTAGGTTTCCAAAGTTGAGCTTCATTAATGAGGTTAATGTACATTATTTTACAAATCACAGTGAAGCCCTATAGAGATCTTGGTAGAGACGTTAATGACTGGTTAAAACGTGACTGTATGACATTTAAAATAATGTGGAAACTGCGAGTGTGGCGTCAAAACAGTGTTTTTAAAGTGGTCTTTAAAAAAAAAAACTGTTTCACGTTCATTCACAGCACTTTTCTGGTCAGTTTTTGAGGCCTTGACAAAAAGACCAGCTGCTTAAAAACAGGCCTGTTTACTTTGGAGGAGCCTCTTCCTGCAGCTATTTTAAGCCAGGATTAAATATTGCAGCAGTGACAGCCATTCCAAAGATGCCTCCCCAAAAATATTTAGCTCTACACCCCAAGACCAGAGGGGCACAGTGAGTTCAGTCATTTCCTACCCAGATGAGAAGCAACACGTATTTGTTGTGGCGTCACTACAACTCTGCCTTACTGAGGCCTGAATGTTTAGCATTGTTGTGGCTCGTGTGTTAGCCGTCTGTTGCCTCGCCACGCTGCCAGCAGTGGTGGAGCTGCCAGCACAGATGGCACGGAGCAGTGGATACAGCCTGATGTAGTGCAAGATGTGAATCCACTGTGCTCGTGTTTTTACTCTGCTCACATGCACAAATCTGTCATCGAGCTGATTTTATTTTGAGATTTGGGGAATTTGGGATATGAAGTTTTTTGTGATCCATTTTTCTTCCGTACGTTTTTCAGCTCGATTCTCGTCCCCAAGTTTTCAAGCTATTTCAACAAATCGTAATCAAAACGTTCAGCTCTTTCAGGACAATCCTTTTATGACTTTTGGTATTGGTGCAGCTTTAGCTTTTTTAAATATTTAGCCTTTTCGGCAACTTTTTTTTTTTTCTCATAGAAAATGAATTGAGCTCATTTTACATCCTTCATATCTTTAGATCTGTTCACAGCCTTTTACTGCTCCTTTCTTGTTCTGGCTCTTCTTTTAGCTTCTTTGTGCAAATTTAAACATTTTTTTACAGCTACTTTCAGCTAATTTCAGCTGTTTTTTCCAGCTATTTTGTGTGCTGCTTTAAGATTCTTTCTGCTAACTACAACCTTTTTGTGCTTTTACGTTCTTTCTGCTAATTTCAGCTTGTTCTGCTCCTTTCAGATTATTTCTGCAAGTTTCAGCTTTTGCTACTATTTCAGCTACTTTTTAGCTGTTTTATCTCAATTTAAGCTTTTTCAGCTAATTCCACATTTTTTTTGCACAAATTTCAACTTTTTTCTGCCTAATTCAGAAAAAATATGCTCTATCCACTTCCTTCTGGTAATTTAATCTTTCTGCTTTTTTTAGCTACTTTTCAGCTGTTTTTTTCCCTCTTTTTTTTTCCTCATTTCAGCTTTTTTCAGCTTTTTTCCACATTTTTGTGCTTATTTCTGCTTTGTTCAGCCTAATTGGGCAAACGTTCCTTCTGCTTTCTTTTGCTAATTTAAGCTTGTTCTAAAATTTTAGCTAACATTTTAGCATTTGGTTAGCCAATTTCGGCTGTTTTCAGATGAATTCAAGTTCGTGCTAATTTCTGCTACTTTCAGCCTAATTACGGTAACTTCTTTATGCTAATTTCAGCTTGTTACGCATCTTTCAGCTGAATTATCCTAGTTTCAGCGATTTCTGCTAGTTAAGCTAGTATTTAGCTGTTTTTATGCTAATCTTAGCTTTTTCAACTAATTCTGCATTTTAGCTCATTTCAGCTCTTTCAGCTTCCTTCTGGTAGTTTAAGCTTCTTTCTGTCTTTCAGCTCCTTTTCAGCTATTTTTTTGCTAATTTAAGCCTTTTTTTAGCTCATTTCTTCCTATTTAAACCTATTTCAGCAAGTACATGTTCTTTCTGATTTTTTCTGCTAATGTAGGCTTGTTCTTCCATTTCAGCTACATTTCAACATGTTTTTAGCTAATTTCAGCTGTTTATCAAAGTTCTTCTGCAACAGGCATTCACACTGCATTTTCGCAGGAAATGCAATTTCTCTAGTTTTATTTTGTATTATCTCGTCAAAAAATGTACATTTAATTGTTGCGACAAAACCGATATTAGTGAATATGATTTGCTGTATTGTTTTTGACAATATTTATAAAAATATTTAGCGCTTATGCAAAGGCATAAGCACTAAACACAAAAATGTTTCTACTTACCCTGATATTAGGATTTTATCTTCATATCTGTTGTTATTTGACTAGATGGTAGTTTTCACCCTTTTTTAAACAGTCATTCTACCAGCAAGATGGATTTTATTTATCATAGTTTTTTTTCTAATTAGACCACATTTAAATTCTGTGTGGGCCGACAAAAACAACTATCGTGCATAATCAACTGAGCAAAACGTTCGGCTTTTAGTTGAAAGTGTGTTGAACCATCACTGTAGTGGCAAAAACCTCGTATCTGTTTTTATTATTTTCATGTTTTTGTTTAAACTATTTTTTATCATTCACATTTGTCTATGGTTTTATGGATGGTGGACCAATGAAGGTGTCAAAGAACTCGCAAAGTCTTGACAGTTATTTATTTTGAACCTGCAAACGGCTTTAAACATCGGTGTTCTTCTGGATAAAGCTTGATCAGATCTTCTTGCCAGTTCTGATGGTTATTCTTAGACAATCATTGGTGTTTGTTGTGTCGTTCCAGCTATGAGAAGTACTTCCTGATGTGTTCGCTCACCCACAATGGAAAGAACCTGTTTAAGCCCGTTCATTCAAAGAGAGTGGGAACATACAAAAACTTCTTCTACCACGTTAAATGGGACGAATTGTAAGTCCTGTCTTTGTTTTTTCACATTTATTATTATTTTAATTCATAAATGTGTCAAAGCCTGCCGTTATCGCTCTTCCTTTCCACCTCTGACACCATCCTTCTCTCCCCAAGGATTATTTTCCCCATCGCTGTAGCTGTGCTCCCGCTGGAGTCGGTCCTGAGCCTGACTCTGTTCGGAGTTCAGAACCAGAACGCCAGCGGCTCACCGGATTCCAACAAACAGAGGAAAGCTCCCGAGTTTCTGGGCAAAGTCTCCATGCCCCTTTTTGACTTCAGACGGTAAGGAGATGGGACCTGTTTCACGTGGCTCTACTAAACTTTGTGTTTTACTTGTTTTTAGTATTTTATTTTACCAGGAGAAACTCACTGAGATGAAAAATCTTACTTACAAGAGCGTCCTGGCCCGAACATTTTTTTTTATATTTACAAGCCCATAGACTCCCAGTTTATTATTTATAAATATTTGTAACATTTCTTGCTTTTTGTGTTACATGCTACATGCCGAATGTTTTGCAGAGTACTCGCAGGAGGCACTCGGCTGTTGTGTCTGTGGACGTCTCCACAAGGAGCTGCTGCTGCTGGTCCTACAAGCAGCCACAGGAGATTACCTACAGAAAGAATCATACTACAGGTTAGTCAGATGATCGTATGTACAACAAAATGTTGCTGAAACGGATAAGACCATGTTAGAATCAGCTGTTGTATTAAAACCTCATCGCTGTGTCAGAATTATACGCTGTATCAGTGGCAGCCGGTCCATAGGCGCACCTAGAAAAATAATTAGCCCCACAAAGTAGTTCCTCCTAATAAATAATGTAAATTACTTATTTACTGAGCTTGTTGTGCAACTTTTAACAAATTGCGATGTACGTGCAATCCTAATGTCGGTGTTTTTCTTACCAACAGCTGGACTTTCCCAACGCAGCATTGGATGTTCTGTACGTTGGACCCGAGGAAGCCCCTAGTCCCGAGCCCCACACACTGGAAGAGCTGGATCCAGACCTCAGACGGAAGCTGGAGAAAATCTGCAGCCGAGCCTCCAATTTTGGGTAGGAGACAGAAAATATGAATAACAAAAAAATTTGAAATATGTTGACGATTTGATATTTAGTGTTGCTTTTTTTTATATATATATCTTGGCTGGATTTGTACTCGCATGTACCTGTAGACTGCATTTGTATTTTTCTTAGACCACCCAAAATTCATAGGTCTTAATAGAATTGGTAAGAAATTTTCAGTTAAACCACAGACAGCCACAGTTCCCTATAAACACCTTTAGCTTGTCTGCTCCATACTCTGTTTTTATCCAGCTGCTTTAAGCACAACTAAATGCTTTCTAAGAATCGCTTCCTGCCAAATCTCTCCACGGTGCCGCCGTCCAGAAGACTCAGCTGGCACTGCAGCACGAGGCGCTCTCGCTCACCGGCTGCTTTTATTCCTGTTCATTCATCTCAACAAATCCTGTGGTTTTAAGACCCACAGAGCTGAATTTATCATTTCTTTAACTTCTTAAAGCTGATTGTTGATTTTTATTAAGAGAAAGTCAGAAGCAGTTATAAGTAAAAATGTATCCTCGGCACAAGGATGCCAGGGCTGACCAGAAGACCCTTCGTGTTTGATGAAACAGACGTAGACGCAATCAGAGACCCTGGTGTCTGATTGCATTTCTGGGCATGAAATTTTTAGCTTTGCTTGATTCTTCCTGCGGGATCAATAAAATTTAATCAGATTGCTTCTTTGGTTAGTCTAGTTGCTCATAATCTTATTATGCAACATGTCGGACACGTTTTTTAGATTGACATGCATGTTATAACTAAGCTTTCCTTCATTCGTTTCAAAAGTTGTTTTAGTTTTAGGATTTTTTTTTTATTTCAGTGTATATCATTAATGCAAATATTTAGCATTCTTATAAAGCGGTTAGTATGAAGGCTTTTTTTGTACTCAGTAAATTGTTCAGTTTCTTTGAAAAACCACTTTGCTTTAATAGTATTATAATAAAGAGTAATCTTTAAAGACCAAACGTTGAATAAGTCCAGTTAAGTCAGGCATAAAAATTAGTTTAAAATGATCTTTAGGTCTTCTCTTATTTATGCCAGTTCATCTTGTTTGTTTTCTTGCGGTCTCCAGCTTGAAGCGGTCTGATCACCAGCTTCTTTGGGACCATCGGCTCCACTGTCGGCGGGACCACCCCAGCAGCCTTCCCAAAGTGTTAGCCAGTGCGCCCAGCTGGGACTGGGCCAGCATGGCTCACATTCACTCCCTGCTGCACCACTGGCCCACCCTGCCCTTAGTCACTGCACTGGAGCTGCTTGACTCAAAGTATGCACTGTTCTCAGTACTTGCACACAAACAAAATGTGCTGTGAAGGGTACAAAACGAGTGCTTTATTTTATAGATTCACCCTAAGTCTAGTATAAATTGTCAAAGTGATGCTGAATAGTGGACTTGTTTTGCAGTCTGACGCGTGGCGATGTACATTTATGTAGGTTTGCAGATACTGAAGTAAGAAGCGTGGCTGTAAGTTGGATTGTAAAGAGCAGCGATGATGAGCTGGCTGACTACCTGCCTCAGCTTGTACAGGTACAACTAACATATCAAATTACCCATGCTGAGTTCACTTCTGAAGTTCTTAGGGTTTTAACTGGATTTTTTTTTTCTAACGAGTTCAAAATCACTTTCTACAACTGACTTCTTCAGGCCTTAAAGTTTGAGTGTCACCTAAAGAACGCGCTGGTTATGTTCCTGTTATCCAGAGCTCAGGCCAACATCAACATAACCCACCACCTGTACTGGTGAGTCTGCGGCACTGATAAACACTACATACAATAAACAAGTACTCAAAGATTATGAGTTTGTGTGGAGTAAATACGAGCAGTTAGTATCTTCCCTGCAGCAGAGAAGAAAATAATATAAAATATGCAGAAAAGAGCCCAAAAAATTAGGAAATTGGCTTAAAAAAAAGCTGAAATTAGCAAAATGGCTCAAAAGTAGCTGAAAGGCATGAACCTTAAACTACCACAAGGAAGCGGAAAGAGCTGAAAAGAGCTTTAAAAAAGTGGACTTAACTGAAAAAGCTAAAATTAGCATAAAAACAGCTAAATAGTAGCTGAAATAGCAGAAAAAGTTTAAACTAGCATAATTAAGCTGAAAGGAGCATAAAGCTGAAATTAGCAGAAATAAGTTATTTAGATTGAAAGAAGCAGAAATTAACACAAAATAATTTAATTTATTTGAAAACAGCTGAAATTAGCTAGAAAATGCTAAAAAATAATAAGCCGAACAGATAGAACAAGCTTAAATTGACAGTAGAAAGCAGAAAGAACACGTTTGTCAAATCAGTCTGAAAGAAGCAAAAATTAGTAGAAAAAAAGTGGAAATTATCTGAAAAAAGATGAAATTAGCTAAACGCAGCTGGAAAGTAGATTAAAAGGTAGAAAGAAGCTTAAATTACCAAAAGAAGTGGAAAGAGCACATTTTTGTTGAATTAGGCAGAAAAAAGTTTAAATTAGTGCAAAAATGTGGACTTAGCTGAAAAGACTAAAATTAGCAGAAAAATAAATAGTAGCTAAAATAGCAGAAAAGGCTGAAACTTGCATAAATAAGCTGAAAGAAGCATAACAAGCTGAAATTAGCAGAAAGAAATTAGAAGAAGCACAAAAATGTTGTAGTTAGCAGAAAGAATCTGAAAGGAGCACAAAACAACTGAAAGTAGCTGAAAGTAGCTGAAAAAATTTAATTTTGCACAAGGAAGCTGAAAGAAGCTGAAGCAGAACAAAATGTGAAAGGAGCGGTAAAAGGTTGTAAACAGAGCTAAAGATTTTAAGGATGTAAAATGAGCTCAATTCATTTTCTATGAGAAAAAAAAGGCTAAATATTTCAAAAAAGCTAAAGTTGCACCAAAACCAAAAGTCATAGAGGATTTGTCCTGAAAGAGCTGAACGTTTTGATTTATGATTTGTTGAAACGGCGCAAAAATTATAGAACGATAAAGATGCCGAAAAATTTGTGACTCAGCATAAACATTCACACAATTGTGATTTACTGTAGAGCGGCTCAAAAGCCTTCACAATAAAACTCGTCTCATTAGCATCGAGACACTTTCAGCTGCCTCTGTCTACTCACTGGTGCTATTTTGTAACAACAGAACAACATGGTTGTTGTCCGGTTGTGGAAAATAGTGACAAAACAAACAACTGGCGGATGCAAAGGTGATGAGAAAAACGTCTAATATAGTGTTAGCTTAAACTGCTATGAAATATTTTTAGATGGAGTTGTTTTAGATGAGTTCTGCCTTAGTCATGTTTTGATGAGGAGCTTAGTTTCCTGATGGAAAATTTCTCCTTGATTCTTCAAAGAACTGTCTCACTGCCAACTCCCGCAGGTAAGACGCTGACTGCTCAGAAGTACTTCACTAAAATCTCACTTGGATAAACCATCTGTGATTCAAGATAAATGACGGATAGCAATAATTTTTTTTTACAAGCATGGGTAAAGAATAAATCAGTGCTTGGCTTTTGAACACATGAATACCCTGTACATGTTCAGCAGATGTTTTCATTGCGTTCGATGCAACTTTTGATTATGGTACCTGTGCTTGTTGAATTATTATTAATATGTTCTTTAGGTTTTCTAACTCCACTGTAACATGTTCTCTGTGGGGTTTATTTTGGTGACAATTAACAAGTACCCTTTACTGTACATCCTTTTGGTTTCATTTTGAAAGCTCTTCCCTTCATATCTGGACTGAAATAACCAAAATAAGCTTTTTTTTATGTTAATAAGACTCAGTGTAAGCTAGCCGGCAGGAAGATGGTTTCCTTTAGAAGTTGTGTGTTATGCTGGCAGGCTGCTGAAAGATGCTGTGCAGGATCCAGCCTGGGGTCGTCGCTATGAGCAGGTGCTGGGGGCCCTGCTGTGTCTGTGTGGAAGCAAGCTGAGGGCGGAGCTGGACAAACAAACCCAGCTGGTCACGCTGCTGGGAGTCGTAGCCGAGCGGGTCCGACAGGCTGGGGGCTCCGCACGTCAGGTCAGTCTGTTTTCGCGCCACTCAGGTAAGCAATGGTTGTTTGAGCGTAAATTAATATTTTGGCGTCTGTGCCTTTTAGGTCGCGCTCCAGGAAGGTCTTGAAAACGTTCAGAACTTTTTCCACAGAAACAGCTGCCGGCTGCCTCTTAGCCCCAGCCTGGTGGCTAAAGAGCTAAACATCAAGGTGGGCCATGAATGACGGAGAACATCTGCAGTTTTTAATTATTGTTTATTGTTGAGCTCAGGTAAATACACCTGTCACGCCTCACTGCAATACAGTGGTCCCTCGTTTATCACAGGGCGTCCGTTACCCTGAAGCCCCACGCGATAAGTGAAAAACTGCGACGTAGTACTAGTAGTACAAGTAGTACAAGTAGTAATTAGTTGTTTATTTTAGTATATATATATAAAGGTGTTTAAAACCCTTCTCACACTCTTGCAAGATTCTGAACAAAATTTCTAAACTCTAAATGCAAATGTCATGGTTTCAGCTCTTTGCCACCTGCAAGCGGTCTCGGCCACGCCCACTCCGCACGTTGTGCACAGAGAACAGCTGATCAGATGCAGCAGGAAGCTTATCCTGCAGTATGGGCTGCACGGCAGGTGCTAAATACTTTTGAGATGATTTATTTTAAATAAAAATTCCATGCCGATCGTGCGGCTCATCCATCAATGAGCCATTATTTGTAGTGTCCAGTCTTATTTTGAAAAACCGCGATAGAGCGAGTCCGCGACGGAACGAACCACGAAGTAGCGAGGGACTACTGTAATCCCATTAACTGTCCATATAAAAGCGCAGAGATGAAAAATAAAACTTTAAATCAACTGTATTTTTAGGCATCAAGTCTTTATTTTAAATTGTTTTTACAAATATTAAGATTTGTAAATGTTGTCTTTGTAACATCTTTGGGGATTATTATAATAGACCCCTGACGTTCGCTGGGATTACCTTCTCATAGCATCTGCAAATAGCAAAAAACTGCAAATTTTGGATGAGGTCAAAAAAATGTATATGTATTGTTTTTATTGCCAAATACATTTGCACATACAAGGAATTTGCTGTGGTGTCCCGGTGCTACGTAAACATTTTAAATTAAATTCAGATGTTCGCATCTCAGACATGTCCGCTGCACTCACAGGATCTGGTCAGAAGATGTTAGCCGTGCGCTCTGCTTCACCACCATGTGCACACCGACCAGGTGAATGAAGTGAGCTCATGGAGGGAGTAAAAAGGCTTGCAGGTTATGGCTAGAAGTGTTACAGGTTCACTGTCACACCAGTACACCAGCCATTGTTGATGTAAAAATTAGAGCCCGACCGATATGGAATTTTTGGCTATCGCCGATATTGATATTGGGAGGGGGAGGCTAACGCTGATAACTGATTAAATCTTTGAGCTTTGTCCACCCCAAAGTAAACAGCTACTTTTTAATCAGTTTCAACACTTGAAGTCTTGAAACAATCTTTCTAACGTGCATCCTCCACTATTCACCATAAAGTTAAGTGTAACAAAAATATCAGTTAAACAAAGAAACGCCCTTCTCTCTGCACTATTTAAACCGTCACGTGTTGTGATGGTCCAATTAGTATGGACTGCAGCTGTTTGGGGTTTTTCTTTGCAGAGAAGTAAATATTTCAGACAAACAAGGCATTTCACTGAGAACGACAAAGATAATGTTGCCAACACTGGTATATTTTACCTTTTATATTAGATTTATTGTTCTGGATTAAGCCTATGCTAAATGTTAGCTTGCTAGCTTGAGAGGCACGAAGCTCATTAGCGAGTTGGAGGGTTGAAAATAATTTATTGTTGTTTTTTTTATTTATTATTTTACAGATCAGTTACAGTAAACTCACCATGCTCTGTTCAGTAAAATATGCTACCCAGCATTGCTCCTTGCTTCGGCTGAGCGAGCAGCATGGCCATCACTTGAAAGAAGTCCACATGCGCCCTCTGCTGGATGCGTTGTACAATTACACCATTTGCAAGTAAAGGCACAGCTTGTTCCCAGCATTTTAGGAATGAAAATTATAAGTGTTTGTGTCCGTGCACACTTCACCAATACCGATATGTCCCCAAACATCTATATCAGCCTAAAATATCGGCCCTACTGATATATCGGTCGGGCTCGAGTAAAAAAAGAGGCCCGTCCATTTTGTTGCTCAGTGTGTAAGCAGATACGCTGGGTGCAGTGATGAAAGATGAATCAACTGTGCAGTGCGATGAAGGTCTGTGAATGAACGACTGCGCAGCAAAGCAGGATTTACAGCTCCTGGGGGGAAAATTATATATTGCAGTTGTGAAAAAATTGCAGAGGACCGTTGCGCTTTCTGTGAAATTGCGGAGGTTTTTTGCAAACAATTATGTTTCGTTCCAAGTAAAAAATCTGTGACTGACTTGAGTCCACAAACTCTGTACTGTAGTCCCTCGCTACGTCACAGTTCGTTTATCGCTGACTCGCTTTATCGCGGTTTTTCAAAATACGATTGGACATGACGCACAATTGGCTGATTGATGGATGAGCCGCACGATCTGCATGAAATTTTTATTTGAAATAAATTATTTGGCACCTGCTGCACATTTGTGCAGCCCAGAGCTGCAGAAATGCTTCCTCCTGCACCGTTGTGCAGCTCATATTTCTGGACAAGCTTCCTGCTGCAGCTGATCAGCTGTTCTTTGTGCATGATTAGCTGTTCACCTGCAGAGCAGAGAAGTGGGCGTGGCCAATAGCGCTTGCAGGTGGCAAAGAGCAGACGAGGAAGGGAGCTGAAATCATAACATTCTGTGCTCTTAGAGCATTTAGAGTTTAGAAACATTGTTTAGAATATTGCAAGAGTTTGGGAAGGGTTTAAAACACCTTTACATATGTGTATATATATATATATATATATTCCTACTTTGCAGTTTTTCACTTATCGCAGGTCTTCAGGGTACGGATCCCCCGTGATAAACGAGGGACTACTGTTCTGTGACTTTGTGGGGGTTCGCTGTAATCTGCTCATGAGGAATTGTTGCAGATAATGGAAATCTTTTTAGTCTCGAATCAATATTTCAGCTTCCTTTGTGACTCGGCAGCCTGCAGGCATTTAGAAGGTACTTACACCTTAATTTGTAATCAAACATAGAACTCTCTGTTCTTTACCGTTGTGTATTCTGTTGAAAATATCTGTTGGAGATCAATGCTGTCCGAGTTTCACTTTCATCCGTCCACATCATCGTGTGAGTTTATCAGGCACGTATCTGATCCGACGGTTGTCTGATGAACTCCGCGCTCCGAGTTAAACGACATCAATAAATGATAACGGTTACAAAAATGTTAAATTGTTGTTTATGGTTTCTGGCTTCAACGCCTACTTGATAAAGAGAATTTAATAAACCAAAAAGCAGAACTTTAAGGGTTTCTAAAAAGGAAGAGAAGTGCAGCGATAAACTAGTGTTTGTTTTCGTAGGCCTGTTCCTTCTTCAGCTCCAACGCAGTTCCCCTCAAGCTGGCTCTGGTCAACGCCGACCCCCTGGGGGAGGAGATCAACGTTATGTTTAAGGTGATTGAAAATTAAGAAAAACTCATTCACTTGCAGTTCTTGTGTGCCTGACACAAACATGCTCTATTAGTTTAAGCCCAGGCGATGTCATATGTTCACTCCAGCATGGTGTAAAGACCTCCCCCTGGTGGCTGACTATAAAGTTCAGCCCTTCTTCTGTTTTCTCTCTTTTAGCTTGTCTGTTTCTGTTTCAGGTGGGAGAAGATCTGAGGCAGGACATGCTGGCTCTTCAGATGATTCGCATCATGGATCGCATCTGGCTGCAGGAGGGGCTGGACCTCCGTATGGTCAATTTTAAATGCATCTCCACCGACAAAGATAAAGGTGCTCAAAGCCGTCTGTCACGTATTTGTTGTAAAAACAGACAAGTTGACACAGAATCTAAATGACTCTGAGTTAATTGCAAATCTATACAGTTGTTTTTTTAAATCAGTTTTGTTATCAGTTTAATTTTCTTGTCTTTATTTCCATATGCAGTGCAGTCCCACAATAAAGAGTTGGAGGTTTATATATTTTATTTTGTCTCGCTGTGTGTTGATAAAACCGTCTTTTTTTTTTTTAGGCATGGTGGAGCTGGTGCCGTCCTCTGACACTCTAAGAAAGATTCAGGTGGAATACGGTGTCACTGGATCTTTTAAAGATAAACCTTTGGCGGAATGGCTCCGCAAATACAACCCTGCTGAAGATGAATATGAGAAGGTACGCACAAAGAATACTGTTGTACTTAAACCTATTAAAACAAATAGTTAAGCACATATTGTTTAGAACAGGGCTATTCCACTAGTGGCTCGGGGGCCAAATCAGGCCCACAGGTGAGCTCAGTTCGGCCCATCATTGGGCTCATTTTTTAATAAAACTAGATTTAAAACTGTAAAATAAACTTACTTAATAACAATAACTGCTGGATTTCTGGCCCCTGAGCTCTTGGCTTTCAGTAACTGTGGCCCCCTGAGCCATAACCGTAGTTGAATAGTCCTGGTGTAGAATGTAATTATATAATATTCCTCTGTCAGTCTTTCTAATGAATTATGATCTCATTATAAGAGGAAATATCTAAACATTTTAGCATTTTCTTCAAAACCGGCATTAAGTTGAATGGCATTGGTTTGACTTTAGAAAACTTATGACCTCTGACCCCAAACGTTTACTGCAAAAGGTCTTAACCTGACCTTTAATTAAACAATCTGTATTCAACCCTCTCCACATCACAGCTGTTGCACATGGGAACACAATTTTTCGTAAGAAAACTGACTTGTAGTCGCTGATGTGCATGTACACTTTAAAGGAATTAACTCAAAATTAACAATTTACATATTTAGATATTCATTGTTGTCTGTTTTCTAGTTTTTACTAGTTATTTAGGGACATAATATTAATATTTATAGTGCTTTTAATGTAACCTAAAGAAATTTAACATGTCGGTCTAGGCTAAAAGAAAACCCATTCGAGTCAGCTCAGAGACTGGTGAAGGAAATGTTTTGTTAGATGTGAGAATAAGCGATACTGTAGGAGTTGCATAATTTTTCCCTCTCTTATATTATTTTTGATTTCATATACTCTCTTAAATGGCTGAAACCCCCAAAAAGCTGCTTCCGTTTGCATAAATTTCTGTTTTGTCAAAAAGCCAAAATAATCTGAAATTAGACCTGTCGCGATAAACAATAAATCAATTAATCGCACGATAAATGAAATTTATCGACCTCATTTTCATTTATCGGCTTTATCGTTTCTTTGTGTCTCTCTCTTTCTACTGAAGACACTGGACGACAAAAGGTTCAACTCCGGTGCTCTTCACTGACCCCGCCCTTTCTCTTTAAAATCTGTTTTAACCGTCCAAAGTCATGTTTTTGGATCGTTAAAAGCAGCTAAACTGAGAAGCTAAGCTACAAGCTAAGCTAACAGGCCGACCTCTGGAAAAAAACCTCGGTCTTGTCGAAGCTTCAAAATTCACGGTTGAAACCCGTGTCTCAGCAAAAAGAAGCTGAGAACTTGTTTACTGAGTTTTATTTTTATTTTAAAGCTTTGTGTCACAAATGCTGTACTAAAGATTTCAAACCACACCGAGTGTCCGCCATTTTGAAAACCGAAGAGACAGCCCATGTCACGTCAAGGGGCCTCCCTCCCATTTTCCTTAAAGACACGCTGCTCGCTCCCTCACTATCCATCCTTTCGTTCAAACAGTCTTATACTGCCATCTGGTGGTCGAAAAAGGTACTACACACAAATAAACCAAAATTTCTTCTTAAATTTGCCAATAATTAGTAATTACTGCCAAATTTCAAACAATATTATCGTTTATCGCAATAATTTCTGAGACAATTAATCGCCCGGCAACATTTATCGTGACAGTCCTATGTGAAATTAAGACTGAATGAGGGTTTAAGGCTTTCAAAGAAACCTCCTCTCACACACGTTAAAGGTTCGTGCACTGCTATTTTAGCCACATTGTCTTGAATTTTCTCTCCAGGCTGCTTCACTCCTCCTCTGGTACCTTGCACACTGACATTTGGCCTCGCTGTGGCTGGAGTAAACATGCAGCACTGCTATGAGCCATCGGTTTTAATGGTTTAAGCATGAGCCGTCTTGTTTTTATAGATAAAAGCACGAATGAAGGTCAGACATTTTATCAACAGGTCCCAACAACGATGGGAGTGCTCCGATGTTAGTTTTCAGTTCTGCTCGTGGCCAACCTAAAAGGTGCTCTCTTGGCTGTCCATCATTTTTGCAGGCATCGGAGAACTTCATCTACTCCTGCGCCGGCTGCTGCGTTGCAACTTTCGTTCTTGGCATCTGTGATCGCCACAACGACAACATCATGCTGCGCTTCACTGGTCACATGTTTCACATTGATTTTGGAAAGTTCCTGGGTCACGCTCAGATGTTTGGCAGCTTTAAAAGGTAATGATAGAATCTTTTCTGTGCCGTGCGCTTGTCTTTGGTTTTCTATCGGGGTGGAGCAGGACGTTCTCTTTTTGTTTTATTACAATCTTGTTAGCAGAGTAGGTGAAAGGTCGTACTGTATTTCCTGATTGTCAGTTATCTTACATTATCTATTGAACTTTTTTGAAGGTGTGCACTTTTAACACTTAATAAATGTTAACGTGGACAATTTTTTTTTTTAGTGCAACGATTTTTGTTCGAGTTTTTATGCAAGTCAAAATTAACCCCAAGACTTTGGAGCACCGCGGGGTCAAATGTCTGCTTCACCCTTGATAATTATTCAAATATTTACATACAAATATTCACATGACAGCAGATTTTTCTGTTCTGTATAAAACTGTTGACTGATGTTTAAAATTCAGTGCGATGTAACGCTCAAAACAATCCTCACTTCTTTTTTGGGTCACTGGATCTCAGGTAAGCTGCAGCAGGATTAATTAATGTTTTTAGATGTGACCTGCTTCTTAACTGCAACACTCAAAATACTTTTTGGCTGTTAAGAAACAAACCACGTGGATTTTTATTTTTTTGGTGAGATTTTTCAGCTCTTAGAGCTCCTCCCCTTGTAAGATGCTGAACTTAAATCTTCATCCCTCTCCTCCTTATCTTCCATTAGAGACAGAGCTCCGTTTGTTTTGACCTCTGACATGGCGTATGTCATCAACGGAGGCGAGCGTCCCACCAGTCGTTTCCAGCTGTTTGTAGATCTCTGCTGCCAGGCCTACAACCTCATCCGCAAGAACTCTGGGCTTTTCCTCAACCTGCTGTCTCTGGTGAGGCAGAGCTGTTGCACACAACATATTCACGCATGGTGTGTGCACGCAGAGGACTCGTTAGGCAGCTCGTGCATTAAATAGAGGATGAAATGATGCTGTTGCTAACAGGACTTTTAATCCGAGTTGTGTTCTGAACTGTTCTCAGACGTCCGAGTTGGACGAAACATTTGTTCCGCTGCTTAAGCTTTTATTTTTTACTTTATTGTGTTTAACTTTTTCTAAAGTGTCTAGTTTGCTTTATGTTGCACCTGCCGGAGCCAGAGGAGCAAATGTACAACCCAGAAGGAGTTGCGCTTTCGAAACATAATAAATCATTTGCTTCCCTGCTGTCCCAGAAACGTCCGCGTATGGAATTTACTGCAGCACCGATACATTTGAGATGTTTTTGAGAATAATCAGTTCCTTTTTAAAATATTTTTTACAAAAAAAGAAGAGTATTCACGTTATTAGTCTCCACTGCAGAAAGCCACGATATTAAGAAATGTAATTCTCTCACATTTGACATAAAAATGGCATTAGCTCAGTTATACTGACTTCACGTTTGGTGGGTTAGTAGCTGAGGTTGATCCACAATATACGGTATATTCTGAGCTCCAGCAGATTAAACCAGATCTTTGTTTAAAATGTTTTTTGACTTTCTTTGTTAGTAAACTGTTTCATACTGGGCTAATTTTACTAAAACTTTCAGAAAGCACTCATTCATTGTAGACTTGCAAGTAATTACCGTTCTTCCCGCCGTAAGCGTCACACCGCCGTATAAGTTGCATCAGTCCAACAATGTGTAATAAAGTGTGAAAAAACATTAACACCGGTACGTCGCTTCGCCGTATAAGTCGCATCTATTATGCGTCGCCGCTGACGCGTCTCGTTTGTTACGCGTCACTGCTGATCACACGGAAATATGTTGTGCCAAACATCGATTTCAGGAGGACTTTAACAAGATTAACACTTAAAAACAATTGTTTGCTCAAAATTATTTATTTCATTTTATTTATTTATTTATTTATTTATTCATTTTATAATAATAAGAATACATATCAATTTACATGTATGTAATTTGAAAACAAAAAAAAATAAAATGAAAGGCAGCAGATGAAGAAAAAATCTTATTAAGTCTGCTCCTTATTTATCTAATAAACAATTCAAACAAACATTTACTGTAAGTAACAAAAACAAATAACTCGCTTAATTTTTCAATTAACAAACATTTTCAATGAATTACATTCATATATATTTTTTTAACAATTCGATTTTTACCAGTTTCTTAAATACCAAGATTGATTTGGCTTCCTTAACATCTGTCTCTAAGTCATTCCATAAACCAACACCCTGAATTAAGGTAGATCTTCCCTTTAAACTAGTTCTGAACTGCGGTTTAACAAAAACATCTTTCCCCTTAAGATTGTAACAGCTTGATCTTTTCACAAAATACATTTGAATATTAGAAGGTAGTGTATTTGTATGAGCTCTATACACAAGTGACAAAATGTTGTAATCCACCAAATCATAGAATTTCAACAGTTTCATTTGATTAAATAAAATACTTGATGGATGATAATAATGTTTTCTTGTGATAATTCTTACAACTCTTTTCTGCAATATAAAAATAGGCTTTGTAATTGATTTACACGCTTTTCCCCAAACATTAACACAATAAACCAAGTGTGGAACAACAATTGCATTATACAACAAAAACAATGCTTTATCGTTTAGTAGATACCTAACTCTATAAAAAATTGCAATAGATTTGGATATTTTCGTTTTAACAGAATTTATATGTTGTTTCCACGACAGTTTATCGTCAATGATGACACCCAAGAATTTCACCTCATTAACTCTACAAATCATTGAATCTTCAATTTGAAATGGAACATCAATAGTTTTATTTCTATTACTAAATATCATGTAATTTGTTTTATCCAAATTCAAAGATAATTTGTTTAGTCTAAACCATTTCTGAATTTTAACAAAGCATAGCAAAGGTGCGTCTCGGTTGAACTTTTCCTTAATAAATGCACTTTAATGGTCAAAGCAGCTGCATTTCGTCTGGGCGGTGAAATGCAGCTGCTTTGACGTTTGCACCACGAGTTCCTGAGCGTGACGAAAGTGGCTCCGTATGGCAAGCCAAGTGTCTCATTAATAGCCACTTTTACCTATTAATGAGACACTTGGCTTACCGTATAACTCGAGGGCCCTCTAGCAGCTGAAAATGTTGGTGTTCAATATTTTCCAGGTCAGAATGAATGAAAATGTCAGATGTCAGTCAAAATTTGGGTTATAAATATAAGGGGGGGGGGGGGGGGGAATAAATGTTGCTGTATAAGTCGCGGGGCATGCAAATTTATGCAACAAACTACAACTTGTACGGCGAAAAATACAGAAGCTTTTAGAGTTAATTTAATTCACGATGACGGCCACAGCTCATTGACATCAGTCAGTTTGGCAGATGTTCAAACTGTGCATGGTTGTAGCTGAGCGTAATTCACAGAACATACTTTGAGGTGGACATCTCGTGATAATGGATGAGATCGCGCTACGTATTATTTTCAAGTTTGTCTACAACGACCCCAGAAACTCTGGCATGAAAGGCGGCGGACAATATACTGCACATTCCTTCAAGGAACGCTAGGCCAACAGTTGCATACAACGGATATTAGCTAAGAATATTTGTGATTAAAAAAATTTAAAAATAATCAAAAACTAACTTTTACATACGTGTCTCCACATGGTTTGTGCTTCTGCTCGTAGATGACGTCGTCAGGCCTGCCGGAGCTGAGCGGCTCTCAGGATCTGAAGTATGTGTTTGATGCTCTGCAGCCGCACAACACCGACGCTGAGGCCACGATCTTCTTCACCAGGTAAATGTGTAAACTCGTTTCTACAACACAAACGATGGACAAAGGTCTCCCTCTCTGCTTCAGTTATAGAAAAATTATTTAAGTATACTGGGTTCTCACCAGTTGCTCCCACAAGTTCCCTTTGTATTCCTTTACTCTTAGTCTTTTGTGCACTGCTTTTAATTTTGATCAGACTCGATCAAGAAGTTGTTTTTGCTTAAACTCAGATTCCACCAGATGGGATCATAAACTTAGAGGTCAGAAGAGCGTAGCTCACATCACTGCAACAAACCGTAAAAGACGTCCAGTTTCCAGTCCAGTAAAACTGGACCAAACGTACGACATGAGCAGAGGAATTAAGTTTCTTCGCAGTGTTTGTAGCTCTGTCTTTTCACGTCGAGTCTCTCATCTCACCCTGTTTTTCTGGTGTTGTCCTCCCCTCCACAGGCTGATAGAGTCCAGTCTGGGAAGCATAGCCACCAAGTTTAATTTCTTCATCCATAATCTTGCCCAGCTGCGCTTCTCTGGCCTTCCTGCCAACGACGAGCCGATCCTGTCCTTCTCGCCAAAGACGTACACTATGAAGCAGGATGGACGCATCGTCCACGCCTCCATCTTCTCTTTCCAGAAGAGATACAACCCTGAAAAGCACTATGTGAGTCCCACAAAGACTGTTTTGTTAAGTATCTTTGTTTTTTCATGTTTCGTATTCGAGTTAAACCGGATCTCTTTTGTTTGTTTCTGCTGAACAGACCTACGTGGTGAGGCTCCTCAGGGAAGGTCAGACTGAGCCTCAGTTTGTTTTCCGCACTTTTGACGAGTTTCAGGAGCTTCACAATAAACTGACCATTCTTTTTCCACTCTGGAAGCTGCCGGGGTAGGACGTTGTCTTTACCTATGCATTTCAGGGGTTTACAATCCATTAATCATACCCTCCTGATAGAAAACTTAAAGATATTAGTTTAGTCTTAGATTATCTTGTCATATATTTGGTGTGTTTTTGAGAAAATTACCATCCACGATATTTTCATTGTATTACCGTATTTTCCACCGTACACGTCACACCACCCTATAAGACACATCAGTCCAAATATGTCTAATAAAGTGGAAAAAAACATAAATACGTCGCTTCGCTGTATAAGTCACATCTATTATGTGTCACCGCCGACATGGGCCGGTGTTGTGCCAAAAATGGAGTGGCTGCCGCGGGAGCGTGCACGGGAGGACTTTAACAAGAATTTAACAAGATTAACACTTAAAAACAATTATTTGTTTGCTCAGAATTATAGCAAAGGTGTGTCTCAGTCTAACTTTTACTTAATAAGTGCACTTGGATGGTCAAAGCAGCTGCATTTCAAAAGCCGATACGCAGAAGCGGGAGCGTGCACAGGAGGACTCGCTGTGCATTTCTTCGAAATTTAACAAGATAACCACCTAAAAACAATTATTTGTTTGCTCGACTTTATAGTAAAGGTGTGTCTCAGTTGAACTTTTACTTAATAAATGCACTTTATTGGTCAAATCAGCTGCATTTCACCGGGACAACACAACGAAATGAAGCTGATTTGACGGTTGCTCCAGGCGAGCTGGACAAAGGTGGCTCTCTATGGCAAGCTGATTGTGTCATTAATTAAGCATTAAGCACTTTGATAACAGTCTATCTGTTTTAAACTGTGCTCTATAAATAAATATGACTTGACTTGACTTGATTAATAGCCACTTTTACCTATTACATGACACAACGGTATGCCATACTACTCTAGTGCCATCTAGTGGCTGAAAATGGTAGTGTTCAATATTTTCAGTCAGAATGAATGAAAATGGTCATATCGTTCTGGGACCCTATGTACATAGTTTCGTCCCACCTCATGTATCACGTGTGGTTTGTATGACAAATAAATCTCTAATACTCAGCCAAAAATTGGTTTATAAATATGGGGAAATAATCCATAAACGACTCTTCGACATATGAGTCGCACGGCGTGTAAATTATGTTTAAAAAAATTAAAAACACGACTTATAGGGCGAAAAATACGGTAATCAGTAAAATTCCACATCAAAACGTACTTTTAATCTGCCTTCGTTTACAAACTGACATGTTGTAGTAGCTTTTTTTTTAATTAACAAATTCAAAATTATTACTTTTCTTTTTGTTGTTAGTTTTCCTAACAAAATGGTGCTCGGTCGCACCCACATTAAAGAAGTGGCAGCCAGGAGGAAGTTGGAGCTCAACAGTTACGTGCACAACCTGATGAGATGCTCCGCAGAGGTCACGCAGGTAAATACAAACACACACACTCTGTATCGTGTTGTGTGCAGCAAGTGGTTGCTGTTTAAATCGGCTGTTTTTATCCCAGTGTGACCTGATCTACACCTTCTTTCATCCAATCGCTCGAGATGAGAAGACGGAGAACTTGGAGACGACACCCAGAGCTCCCGGTAAGTACTTCCATGTTTCTCCGTCTCGTTCTTCAAGTGTTTTCGTTCCGGTTAAACCGTCTTCTTTTACTTTCTTTTCTGTGCCTCATCTTGTCACGAAGCTGTCCAGATTAAATGGTGATAATCTTTTGTTTCTGGTCAACGACGACACTTAAGGACAGAATTATTGTAAATTAAATTGTGACTAATTGAAATGAATGATGATCACAGGTACCGGGGTTTTTAACAAGACCTCTTCAAATTGAACATTTTTGTGTCTGACTGCCATGTGCCATGTCTGGATGTGGTGTGTGGTCTCTTCATGTTGCAGAACCTCCGTTGAGCCCCACTTCGGGTCGGGTGGAAGGAGAAGTGAAGCTCTCCGTCTCGTACAGAAATAGCACTCTATTTATCATGGTCATGCACATCAAAGATCTGGTAAGCACAGAAATAATCCAGCCCAGATTCTGAGACTATTTTTAAATAGATGGATTATGTTGCGTTCTTCGTCGGTTTGTGTTCAGTAATTTACGTCTTCCGCTTCAGGTTTCTGAAGAGGGAACAGATCCAAACCCGTACGTAAAAACCTACCTGCTTCCAGATCCTCACAAGTCCTCCAAACGCAAGACCAAGATCGCCAGAAAAACCAGGAACCCCACCTTTAACGAGATGGTCTGGAAATGCAAAACTTTTTTACTTTTATATTGACGTGTTTGTACAGAATGATTTAAGGCCTGTTGTGCTGCTTACAGAAGCTTTAAAGTCTTCAGACTTCACCTTGTAGACATCTAATGCTGGAATCGTTAGAATAACAACATGAAGAAAGACATTTTGTACATTCATGAAAAACACTCAAATATCACTTTTCTATACGTATTTACGACTCTTAACTTGGAACTCGGTAGAGGCTCGACAGCAGTTCAAGCCTCGAGCCTTTTTGGGTTTGGTGCAACAAACTTTGCACGACTGGAGGATTTTCTGCTTGAAATCCTCTCGAGCTCGGTCCATTTCAGTCGGAGTTGTTAGTTAAGAAAGACGGAGGTAAAGTCAGGGTTCTGGCTGGTTGTTCTAGGACAGGGTTATCCAACTGGCGGCCCACGGGTGACTTCAGTCTGGCCCACCAACGAATTCATAGTTCAACGAGTTTATATGAGCAGTTTAGTTGAATAGTCCTGTTCTAGGACGTTCACAAACCCATTCTTGTTTTCTTCACTGTTTTGGGTCATTGTCATGTTGGAAGGGGAACTTTCAGCCCAGTCTGAGGCCCTGGGTTTTGTGGAACAGGTTTTCATTAAGGATATCTATTCAGTCCAACATTTTTCAGTCAGGTCATCTGGACAGTTTCTTTTTTTTTTTGTGCTGAAACGTTTTGCCTTCGATCCAGAAGGCTTCATCAGTCAAGGAAACACACAACAAAACTGATTCTTCCCCCAACAGCTTACTCCAAAGTGGAACAAACCAGTTCTGCTTGTGATAAGATGGTCTCTTTGGTACGCCCCCTCCTCCATTGCCGGCCCTCTTCCTTGTTGACAGTCTTGTCAAACTGGTTGAAAACAGTTGAACAATGTTGGATTGTATACCTGGATTATTGAGCATGGACTTTGTTGTTTTCAATCAGTTTGACAAGACCGTCAACAAGGAAGAGGGCCGGCAATGGAGGAGGGTGTGTACCAAAGAGACCATCTTATCACAAGCAGAACTGGTTTGTTCCACTTTGGAGTGAGCTGTTGGGGGAAGAATCAGTTTTGTTGTGTGTTTCCTTGACTGATGAAGCCTTCTGGATCGAAGGTGAAACGTTTCAGCACAAAAAAAAAAGAAACTGTCCAGATGACCTGACTGAAAAGTGTTGTATTGTACACCTGGATTATTGAGCATAGACTTTGTTGATATTTATTCAGCTTTCCTTCAACCAAGACCGGTTCTTATTGCTGAAACACACCCCACAGCATGATGCTGCCCCCACCATGTTTTGACATTTGACCTTTTGAATTTAGGCCAAACAGTTTGGTCTCGTTCCTCACAGTCTGAGAGTCCTTTTCCATTGAGCCACTCTATGAACAGATCCGTGGAGATCTGGAGCGTCGAACACAGAACGTCTGACGGTCACAGGGACCTTCAGGGTCCTTCATTGACCGCTCAGTGTGATGACCAGCTCTTGGATGTGTCCTGGTTGTGCCAAGCTTCAGTTTGAGAAATATGAGGAACCTTCAGGGCAGCAGAGATATTTTGTATTGCTGAGACTGGTGCCTTTTAAACGTTCCTGTCTCTGAGCTCTCCAGATAGTTCCTTTGACCTCGTGATTATTATTATTTTCAGTTGTCAGCTCGGAGGCCGCCTCATGTCCAGTAGGTTTAATTTACCACAGGTGGACTTCAGTCAATGTGTCGAAATATCTTGGCACGGATCAAGAGAATTGAGAGGCGCTTGACATAAATTTCAAGTGTTTCAAAAGGTCTAAAAATGTATGTAAATATGACCGTCAGGTTTTTCTTTAAAGTGATTTACAAATCTGTATAAAATTATGTTTTTACTGTCATCGAATGATGCTGAGTGTAAATTATCGAGAGGAGAAATAATTCATGACTGTAGTGTCCAACATAATTGTTAAAAGTCAAGAAAGTCTGAATGTTGAACTCTACAAAAAGTTTTTAATGTTGTAGGAGCACAAACGGTGAGCTAAGACGTCAAAATGAGCTTATCAATGTTGATTGTAGCATCGTCGTACGTGATGACAGACTCTGACTTTCCCATCACCTTTCCATCGTGTCTCCACAGCTGGTGTACAGCGGCTACAGCAAAGAAACGCTCGGCCTGCGGGAGCTGCAACTGAGCGTGCTCAGTGCCGAGTCGCTGCGTGAGAACTACTTCCTGGGCGGCATCAGGCTCAGACTAAAAGACTTTGATCTCAGCAAAGAGACGGTCAAGTGGTACAAACTAACGAGCGTTCCCTACTTCTGAGCCCCGACAACATTCACATCGTATGGGAAACGCTGCAGCAGAGACCTTTCTGGAAAATGTTGCTCACCTCAGCTTTTACATCTTAAAAACAATCCTGCAGGACTTAAAGTCTGGAAATGGATTAGTGTTTTCTTTCATGGGGATTAATATGATCACAATTAAAAATAGAAACAGGAATATTTTCCTTTTAAAACGAATCGAACTTACCATTTCTTTCACTTGTAGCAGTGCGTGTTAAGGTTTGTGCATGTGGGCTGAAATGATGTATTATGAACTACGCACGTTGACCTTATTCGAATGAATTTTATCACGAGATGGCGTAAAATTAATTTGCTGCTTCGGATGTTCCCATACGACACGAATGTGTTCAGCGTTCTTTCGGCTGCGCTCAAAGAGGCAACAAACAAACGTGCAAAGCTTTTTTTTGTTTTGTTTTCACTTTGCTTTCAAACTTGTTTGTGACAAACAATCTCCTGAGTTTGTCTTGCTTTTCTTAAGTGTAACAAACATCTGTAATATTTTGTACATTTTGACATTAGAGGACCAAATGGCTTACTTTCAGAAGAGTATATATGTAGACTGACAGTTTTTTTTAAGAAATAGAAACTTTCCCTGTTGTAAAAAAAAAAAAAAAAAAAATCAGGGTTTTGTGGAGTAGCTCATCAACGATTAGAGAAAAATCAGCTGAAGTTTCCTCAAAGTGCCAAAATTAGTTTAAAAAATGGGACCGAGATTCCACACCGTCTTGTTGGGAGCGATGCCTTTGTTCTCAGAATTTCTTCTGTGATGCTCGACTTTATCTTATTACTAAATTTATTTTCTTAACATTGTAATATCACAGAAAAAAGTCTCTCAAGCTATGAATATAGTTTTTCCAGCGCTGGTCTGGTGTCAGACTGGAACCAGACAAGTATTTTTATAACAATGGGCCTTTGTCTCGTCATATTTCTTGACTGTTTTCACACAGCACACATTAAAGGGCAAATTGTATCATAAGCTTGGGAATGCGCTCACTTGTCAGTCTCCTGAATGACGATAGCGGTCGCCTAATAATGCTGAGCACATGTCTGTTCAGTACCTGAGAAGCAAAAATCAGAAACGGAGTCCCTCCTGGAGTTTGGACATGAAACGGTGCTCGAGCACGAACAACACAAACACTCCCAGTGCTTCAAAGTAAGACAAACTAATAATTGGTGTTGAACTCCAGGAGCAGGAAGGTTTTTATATTTAAATGAGGAAATAATTTGAATGTCTTGTTCAATAACTCTGATGTAAAACATCTTCACAAGAAGGGAACAATATCCTGTGCAAGTTGATGCCTACTTCGCTATAAATCTAAAGTTGTGTTGATGTTTATTAAAGAAATTAAGGTATTTCTTCTGAAAAGGTTTTTATTGATCTACGACACATATGTCACGCTATAAATATTACTGCCTTGATCTGCTCTTATAGTAACTGTACAAAGAAAGCAAAGAGTTTGTACTAACTGGGCCAGTAATTTATTTTTAATTGGTGACCTCTAGCCTGAATCAATCGGTGTGTACTGTAATCCCATAATTTCATAAAACAAATTAAATGTTTTTTGAACATGTATAAAGTGTCCGTGTTAAATTTGTTGGAAAACTGTGTTAATCTACTGGAGGACAAACTGACCTCATTTCCTTAAATGATTTGCTAAAATTAAATAATCGATTTCTATCTTAACATGAGATTCTTGGCCTGCCATTGTGTATCTGTTCCTCCCAAACCCAGCCGGTCGAAGCAGATGGATTGTCCTGAGCCTGGTTCTGCTAAAGGGTTCTTCCTCATGAGGGAGTTTTTCCTCTCCACTGTCGCCTTCTTGCTTGCTCAAGATGAGAGTTCTGTGATGCAGAGTTAAACTCAAATCAGTCTGCTCCTCATAAATAATGTTAAATTATCATTTTTATACGTGAATGTTTCTGTTCAGTGCCCTGAGACGACTTCTGTTGTGACTTGGTTCCATAGAAATGAACTGAATTGAATTTCAGATGCTCCACTTTGTGTTCTCTCCTAGCTTTACGGTAGAAAGTCAGAATCTGGCAGTTTCCTTCCTTCTCAAGGGACCCAAGCAGAAAATAGTTTGATTTCATCATTTTTTTTAAAATAAGTGAGAACAAAAAAAAAAAAAAAAAGACTGCAAGAAGATATTTGCGAGATAAAGCAACTGACTAAAATGGAGCTAGTTATTTACAATGAACTAAATGTAACAGCGGTCTTCTTCATTCTTCTTTCAGCGTTTCTCTCTTCGGGGGTCTCCACAGCGAGTGAGTCATCCTCCATCTTTGTCCTCTGCGTCCTCTGTCCTCACTCCAACTACCTCCATGTCTCCTCTGACTGCGTCCATCTCCTCTTCGGCCTTAACAGCAGAACTGATAATAAATTAGGTAGTATCATTAAGACTAAACTGAAGTTGGGTTAGTGTTTTCCTGAGTTGTAATGAATAACATTTATGTTGTGCTTCACTGTCCCAAAACAAAAAAATTTAAATAGGCTTCTTTTTTTTAATATGTTTAGTGAGTGAAATTTGGTCCCAAGTATTGACAAACTGATCCTCCAAAATTAAACAATCTGACTCAGACACTGATTGGTTGAGTTTTCGACAGATGAGGAATAAATGCACAACTGCTGTCAAAGCAGCAAAACGCAACTATTTCTTATCTCAGACCTCCAAAAATTTAAATGACCCTAACAGATTCTGGAAAACCATCAAATCTCTCTCAGGCACCCCCCAATCATCTGAACTCCCATCACAACTTCTCGTTAACTCTGTTTCTGTGTCAAATAAGCACGAGATCCTGAACTGTCTCAACAAACATTTTGTTGCTTCTGGTTCTTTATTTGACACAGTTACTAATGGAAGATCAGCCACTTCACTTAATAACCAAACTTCTTCAAATCAAATCCCTCCTACAAGTCAATCCTCAGTTAATCACAGCTTCTCTTTTTCTCCATTCTCAGTCAGTGAGGTCAATAAACTGTTAATAGATCTTGATCCTAAAAAATCTGCAGGTCCAGATGAACTTCCACCTTATTTCTTAAGGCTGGCTGCTCATATCATCACAGTCCCTGTGACCCACATCTTCAATCTCTCCATAAGACAAAACTCCATCCCAGACACTTGGAAAACAGCCTTTGTTCTTCCTTTGCTGAAGGGAGGAGACCCCACCTCACTGAACAACTATGGACCAATCTCTAAACTCTGCATTTTAGCCAAGGTTCTAGAAAAACTGATAAACTCTCAAATCAAAAATTACCTGGACTCATTTAACATCTTACCTCCACATCAATCTGGTTTCAGGAAACAACACAGCACAACCACTGCTTCACTGAAGGTTCTTAATGACGTTGTTGAAGCACTGGATGCTAAGGATTATTGTGCTGCACTTTTCTTAGACCTGTCTAAAGCTTTTGACACTGTGGATCATAACATCTTGTGTCATAAACTCTCAGAAATCGGTTTCTCAGATCACACCATTGGTTGGTTCTCTAACTATCTTTCAGACCGGAGGCAATGTGTTCAACATAATGGTACTTCCGCCAGTTATTTAACAGTCAGCAATGGTGTACCACAAGGCTCAGTCTTAGGACCCACCCTCTTTTTACAATCTACATGTAGGTAAAAACATCCCTGATGCATCCATACATTTCTATGCTGATGACACAGTTGTTTATTGCCGAGCTAAAACTGTTGCTAAGGCTTTCCAGCTTTTGAAATCTGCATTTATCATCCAGACAGATTTGTTCCGTCTCAAACTTGTCCTAAATGCCGACAAAACCAAAGGGATGCTTTTTTCAAATAGGAAGTTGGTCCCAGCAGTTCTTCCTCTGATTTCATCCTCAAATGGTGTCCCTATTGAGTTTGTTGATTCCTATAAATATTTGGGTATCTTGGTCGACTCGCATCTTTCTTTTAAGCTTCATGTGGAAAACTTGGTAAAGAAACTGAAAGTTAAACTGGGTTTCTTTTTCAGAAACAGATCCTGTCAACCCTGAATGTTAGAAAACACCTTGTATCTGTGACTTTCCTTCCCTCAATTGATTTTGGTGATATTTACATGAACGCTCCTACAAGAACCCTGCAAATGTTGGATGCTGTCTATCACGGTGCACTAAGATTCATAACTGGCTGTGATTATCGTACCCACCACTGCACCCAGTATTCACTGGTTAACTGGTTACCATTAACTTCACGCAGACTCTCCCATTGGTACATTTTCATCTTTAAATCACTTCTTGGTCTTCTGCCTTCATACATCTCCTCCTACACGTCTCTGCGTGAGTGCAGCTACAGCGTGCGCTCTCAGGACATTATTACCTGCAGTGTTCCCTCAATGAGGACTGAACTAGGCAAAAGAGGCTTCTCCTACTCCGCTCCTGTTTCCAGGAATATCTTACAAAAAGATCTGAAGCTCTCGACCTTGACCTCTCTGGCTTTAAGAATCCGTTGGACTCCTGGCAGGGACCAATGCAGACATGTTCCTGTTTTTACTCGCCTTAGAATCTAGCTGTTTTTTTTACTTTTCTTTTTTTTTTTAGCTATCCTATTTGTAAAAAAATAAAATAAAAATTGTATGACCTTTTATAACTGTTTATTGTTGTTGCTGTTGTCCATCGTTGTCATCATTCTTTGTTGAAATCAGGTCTCTCTTGTAAATGAGTCCTCGAGGCTCAATGGGATTTACCTGTCTAAATAAAAGTTGAATTAATATGTTTAAGAAGCTTTCTAAAGTAAGAATAAATACAAAAATATATTTATGGTTAATAAAACTCTTGTGTTATCTAGTAGATTACAGAAAAAAATAGTATAAAATGACCAAAAAAGTCCATGCTCAATAATCCAGGTATACAATCCAGCAATTTTCAGTCAGATCATCTGGACAGTTTTTTTTTTTTTTTTTCTGAAACGTTTCACCTTCCATCCTGAAGGCTTCATCAGTCAGGGAAATGTGCAACACAAAACTGATTCTTCCCCCCAAACAACTTACTCTGAAGTGGAACAAACCAGTGGTTTTGAACCAGTTTGACATGACTGTCCACAAGGAAGAGGGCTGGCACAAGAGGAGGGGGCGTGCCAAAGACACCATCTTAGCACCAACATAACTGGTTTGTTCCACTTTGGAGTAAGCTGTTTGGGGGAAGAATCAGTTTTGTGTTGTGTGTTTCCTTGACAGATGAAGCCTTCTGGATGGAAGGTGAAACGTTTCAGCAAAAAAAAAAAGAAACTGTCCAGATGACTTGATTGAAAATTGTTGGAGTATAAGATGACGTAAAAAATATTTGGAAATAATTTAAGCACATAGATCTTGTTGCGGTTGAGATCGAACAAATTAATAACACTTTAAAGACACTCAAGTTAACAATTTGTGTATTTTATTTTATAAACCGGAAACTTGCGACTTTGCGTAGTGACGTCGTTTCCGGTGCAGACGTAAAACAGTTTTTTCTGTCGCGTGTGAGGCCTCTCTTCCTCCACCGCCATCATGGGTCGCATGCACGCTCCCGGGTGAGCTTTCTTTTCATTTAAAAAACTTCGGTTTTAAATGGTGGCAGGTCGGTTTTAACGGCAGTTTACAGCTTGTAAAGATGCAGTGGTCAAAGATGGACTGAAATATGTTTCCTCTTTTGGCTCGGAGCTTAAAAAAACCACAAAAATAAGTCCTGCATGAAACGGACATCCGTCTTCTGCTAGCCTTAGCAAGTTAGCATACGTGTGGTGTACAACGAGAGGACTTCTGAACTTAAATTTCCAGGAAGATATTATTACATTACTCGGACAGCGCCTAAAACCACGTTCAATGGATTGTAGATAAATGTACATGTTCTAAATTATACACATTAATATTGATTAGATACCATTAGCAACGATATGGAGCCGATAGCTGGACCAGTTATTTCCACGAGTTGGATTAACAAGAGATGCTGCACAGTCTCACTAACTACTGTTAATTCTGTTAAGTGTTTTTCTCACCGACACAATTTGTATTTTAATTTATTCTACAGAAAGGGCTTGTCCCAGTCATCCTTGCCTTACAGGCGTAGTGTTCCGACTGTGAGTATACGAACCTGCTGTCCTACAGGACATGTAATGAGCAGCCCCTGTGCACGTTTCTAACGCAAACATGTTTATTTTAATAGTGGCTGAAGCTCACAGCTGATGATGTCAAAGAGCAGATCTTCAAGCTGGCCAAAAAGGGCTTGACTCCCTCTCAGATTGGTAAGTGTTTTAGGAAAAGTACAGTTGTTTCTAACAATCCATTAAAGCTATTCTTGTTTTTTGTTTTGTATGACTTTTGTTCAAACTATCTCAATTGAAAGAACATTCAAAGACACTTAAAATAATGTATCCAGGTTAAAAATGTATATTACTATGTTTGTAAATTCTAAAATTTATTGTAGTTACCTTAAAACCCCTTGGTTTGACAGATGTCCTCAAATACAAAAATGGACTAATTTTCTTCATATATTGAACGTTTCAGTACGTCCTTTGGTGATTGTTCAGATTCAGAATAAGTAATAATCTAATACGTGTAATGTAAAATTTTAATTCAACCTTTATTTATACAGGTTAGTCTCATTGAGACTCATTTACAAGAGAGACCTGCTTAAAACGAAGAATGTGAGAGCCCCAACGATATGGAAATGTTGGCGTGTTGTTTTTTCTTTGCAGAAACGTAACGATTTCAGACAATGCATTTCATTGAGGAATATAACGTTACTAACCCCGATATATTTTACTTTTACGTAAGATTTAAAGTCCTGGATAACATTTTACAAGGCAATAGCCTATGCTAAACGTTAGCTTACTAACATGAGAGGCACGTAGATAATGACAAGCAGGTTGGAGGATTGAAGAAATTATTTTTTAATATATTTTACAGATCAATTACCATTAGGGGTGCACTGATAAATCGTAGCCGATTTCCTTAGTTTTGGGTGATCGATCGATGCATGAGAAACCGATTTTTTTTGTAGTTTTAACAATTTTCTAAACTTCATTTATATTTCAAAGCACTACCTCACAACCAGTTAAAACAAGTTTGTATTGTTTCTAGGATATTGTTCAAGGGTATGTTTTTCAATAAAAATAAGATTGGAAAATTGAAGGTGTCGCTTATAAAACAAAATCGGTATCGGACAAAATCAGAATCGGCAGGTCAGACTTTTTATAGATCAGTAATCGGCCGGTAAACTGCAATCGCTGCACCGTTGCTTACAATAAACTTACCATACTGTATTCAGCAAAATATAGAATAGAATAGAAACGGCCTTTATTGTCCCACGGATGGGAAATTCAAGTGTAACAGCAGCAAAAGATAAAAAGATTTCACACAAAAGTTCCTAAATGTTAATAAACAATACAATATATAAAAAATAAGATAAACAATATCAATATGCTACACAGTATTGCTACCTGCTTTGGGCTGTTGTTGTTACACCGTATTGTTTTACATAAATAACTATTAATTAACCCTGTATTCACACCAAAAACTGAGCTTGTTACAACAGATAATTATACTATTTCTGATTAATCTAAATGATACATTTTTGGACTAAATATTGTTGAATACATGCACATTTTATTGGGTAAAAAATTATTTGCCCTGAAATGCACAGTGCATCATAATTCAGAGTTTCTAAATTATTTTCTAGAGGGCGTGCTTGTTTAAAATTTGTTCCTGAGTCAACTCGCCTGATAAAAACGACTGAATTGCCTCCACATGTCGTCTTTAACACAAGCCTGTCATTGACCCGTTCATTTAAATTTGCAGACAAGCATTCATAAATGTTTGAGTGAGACTACAGCTCTGAATGTTTAAGCTTTACAGGATCATTGTTTTTCTTTTACATTTGATTGTTGGATGTAACTGGGACCCTGTGCGATAATAATTATTTACATAATTTCGCCTCACCACATGTACCACATGTGGTGCGAATGACGATAAATCTCTGATAATCAATTTTGGGGGTAAATGAGGGGCTCTATGTTGCAACACGCAGTGCTCGGGCTTTCTACATTTCAACAAAGTATTAGCACATTTAAGAGGATTGTCAGATACCAAATTAGTTTTGCTAGAATGTAATTATAAAACTAAATAACTGTGTTTAGTTCAGCCTGCTGGGTTGTGGAGTGATTACATGGTGAGGGCACAGAAAATTAACTTTTCTTAGACAAGAAATATATAAAATATGTGAACTCTTGTATGATCTAAAGTTGTTTATTCAGTCACTTGAGTTGTACTTTTGTTTGAATTTCAAGGCCGAGCATCAGTTTTACTTTGTTAACCTTGTCCAGGTGTGATTCTGAGGGACTCCCATGGTGTGGCCCAGGTACGTTTCGTAACTGGCAACAAGATCCTGAGGATCCTCAAGTCCAAGGGCCTGGCCCCTGACCTGCCTGAAGATCTCTACCACCTCATCAAGAAGGCTGTTGCGATCCGAAAGCATCTGGAGAGAAACAGAAAGGTACAGGAGCACAAGTTCTGACTTTGGATGTTGACCACGTTGTGTTGGAAGGATTGGCTTGTTTCTTAATGATCAACGAGCGAAGGTTTCTGTTAATCTCATGTTTTAGAAATCTAGTTTATAGTTTGTTTCTGATCTCGTTTATTTAGTGCTCTGAAGAATTTTCCCAAATATAACAGGAGAATGCAGCATTCACTAAAACAAATGAATGTTGTTTAATTTACAATATAATGCACTTAACTCCTACTTGCAGGACAAGGATGCCAAGTTTCGTCTGATTCTCACTGAGAGCAGGATCCACAGGCTGGCCCGTTACTACAAGACCAAGAGAGTACTGGCCCCCAACTGGAAGTAGTAAGTGTTGCTTGTGCACTGGAGAAACATTTCTCTAAATGGGACATCATTCTCCAAAATGTGAATATTTGCTGACAAGGTTGTCTTCTGGTTTTCTTCCTGATATCTGTTGATGATTTGTGATAAAATCCCAACTCCTGTTTTAATTTAACTCGGTGCGTTTTACTGTATTTATAAGGGAAATGCACAATTCATTGTCTTGCTCTTCAGTTTTATTAAGAGCAGTGATATTTCTGTTGTGCTAGAAAAAAAACTGGAGGTAAATTAGCAGAGTGGCTCCTTTGTGCCATTTCTGCCAGTCCCCTTCATACAATAAAATTATTTTTTTTAGGTGTTTACATTTCTGTGGTAACACAGACGTAAGAATTTATGTAAAAGCTCACTTGCTAGTGCAGTATTGTACATCCATACCACACAACAAGTTAAATATTGTTTTTGCATGGTGAATCTATTTATTAACATTTTAATGTTGATTTTAATTGATGCTTTTCTTTTGTTTACAGTGAGTCCTCTACTGCTTCTGCTCTGGTGGCATAAACGTGACTTTTTGGATTAATAAAATTGTTTAAATTCGTTTGTTTGGTTGTCTTTATTTGTTTTCAAAACAATATTTAAGGCTATTACGGAAGAAGCGGGTGAACATGATAGATGGGATGTTCTGATCATAAACGTTTGAAATTAAGAAAACAAAACGGTTGTAATACGTGAAATTGTTCTGAGAATAAAAGATGACGAAAGTTGAAACTGTTCTGAGAAATGATGTAAAATTTTCTGTTTTTGTTTTCACTCTCGGTCTCTTATTTCATTACGTCAATTTTCTTCATGGGTTTTCAGTTCCGGTTGGAAATTACGGGCACTTTCCATGCGTTTCGTACGTGACTGGGAGGAACCATAAGCGCAAGGTCTACTGTGATTGGTCCCTTCATGCGCAAGGTCTACTGTGATTGGTCCCTTCATGTGATTGACAGCTGCTCTGTCCAATCACGGCGAAGTGCGACGTCACGGTCTTATTTAAAGCGCGGTGTTGCAACATCCGAGCCATTCTCTTTACAATCATGAAGACGACACATTTGAGAAACATGGAGAGACTGAACGAACGAATTTGACGGAAGGGGACAAAATGGCGCAAACTCGCCAGAAAATGAAGCGACTATACACAGACGCATATTTGTCACCGACACATACGCGAAGTCTGTTGGTTTTTGACGAGGAATACCAAAATACGTGAGGATTTTTATTTTTTTTTCTCGGACGTGACAGTCGCTGTAACTCGAGAAGGAAGAAGTCGGAGGGGAAAAAAAAAAAAAATGGCTCCGGCGGTTTCTGAGAAGAGGTGGGAGCGGGCGGCGGTGGAGAGGTTCGGCAGCGGGGGGGTGGCGCTCCTTCCCTGGACCAGACAGATGCTCACGGTGCTGTGGGAACAGCTTCGGCTGCTCGTGCACGTCATTTACTACACGTTCATGTCGGGTAAGAACCACCAGGGTTCAATTTGAATTCATGGAGTTTTGTTTTAGAACTTGCCTTTTTAAATTTAATGTTTTTACTGACGGGTGAAACGTTACTGTTAAATTTAAATGCTTGAAAAGAGCATTTTGTTAATTGTTTCTTTGGGGAGTCCATAGTTTTGTAATATAGGAACACATTTTATTACATTTAATAACCTCAAGATTGTGGAAACACCTCGTCTTTTGAAGTACACTCGTCAAAATGTGAAGCTTTAATTGATTAAAACTGTTTTTATTTTCTCCAGTCTTTCAGATGTTCAGGTTTGAGGTTCACGTGAGGATCACTGACGAGACGGGAGACATCCAGCACATGAGCACAGCATCGAACTCGTCCGACTCCTTTTTGTTCTCCTCCCTGTTTGACGGAGAAAACGGAGTAGTGGTTGGTGGTTCGAATCCCCTGTCTAACTTCTGTGCCGACGTCGGCGACCCGTTCTCTGGGAAGTCCACGGCTGAGGCCCTGCTCTCCAGCCTGCGCGCCGACGATCTCTGCTGCGGCCTCGTAGACGACTTTGTGTCGAGAACCGGCGGCAAAGAGGAAGGCCTCCTGCTCGGACACCAATCTTCCTGGAAGGTGGGCTTCCCGGGCGACTGGAACATCTTCGTGTCGAGCAGCGACAGCTCGAGTTCGAACGACGCCTGCCAGAAAACCAAGTCCGGTTTACCCAAAGAGAAAGTTCTCAAACAGGAGACGTCCGAGGAGGAGAGGAGCTCTCACTGGAGCAGCGAGGAGGAGCAGAGCGTGCTGGAGTTTGAGAGTGAAGAAAGTAAGGCGCTTTGGGAGTCGCTCTCCAAATCCAACGATCCGTACAACCCCTTCTTCTTCTCCGCCTGCATTTCAACCGACTCCAACATGGGGAAAAGTGAAGGAGACGGCGGTGACGCTGATCTCATGTCGGTGAGCAAAGCCTGTGAGAAGATGCTGGGGCCTCCGAGGCTGAACATGTGGGTCTGTCGCACCGACAGCGAGAGCAGCTGGAGTAGTTGGGCCGGTTCAGATGGCTCAAGCCCCGACGTCGACAAGGAGGAAAACGACCGACTCTGGGAGTTCTTCAGCAGTCCTGAAGACCCCTACAACCCTCTGTGCTTTACTGCCAGCACAGCCGTCACTCCAACTAAACAAGCATCGCTTCCTGCACCGTCCCCCAAATCAGACCCGGACTCTAAGGAGAGCAGCTTTGCTCCGTCGGATGACGACGAAGAGCTGCTGTGGAAATTCTTGAGCCCAAACGACGACCCGTACCACCCACTGAACTTCAAAGCCTGCCTCCAGAGCTGCTCCACTTCACTCCACGAAGATCCCAATGTCTTTGACAGGCCACCCACAGAGACGAAGAGGCAGATGAAAGCGTTCAGGAAGCCCAAACGCGTCAGGCCGGCTCTTCCAGGGAGGAAGTTAAAGCAGCACCGTCATCCTGACAAAACGCTGGTTCCCTGGAACAGACCTGAACTCGCACCACCCGGGGAGAGCAGGGGGAACAAGACCGACCCCCCACAGAAAAAGGTGACCCGATCAAAACTAACACATTTATCCTTCATTATTAAAGTAAATGCACTGTAACGTTGGCAAAAGTGAATTCAGAGCGAAGAACTCCACTTGTTGGTTTTATCAGGAACAGCAGAGCGCGTGTGTTAAGTTGTAACATCATGGGAGGTGCCCGCTGCTGATGGTCCCGTACTCCGCCTGAGATAAGAGTCAGCTGCTGACTGAGCCGTTGTTTGTTTTTCACGTTAGCAACGGCGCCGGTCGTCACGACTGAACCGTTCGTACGCCTCCGTGACTCATCAGAGAGTCTGATGAACACATGGACTTCATAAGGTGTCGTAATTATTACATCACAGTTTAAATATGAACCCTGAGGTAGAAACAGAAATGCGAGCTGTAGTCTGATTCTGTGTGAGAATAAACGCCCGATGGTGTATTTTACATTAGTTTTTAGAGCAGGCCGGTCCCGATCAACAATGAATCGATCGCACGATAAATGAAAATTATCGACCTCGTTTTCATTTATCGGCTTTATCGTTTCTTCATGTCTCTCTTTCTACTGAAGACACTGGATGACAAAAGGCTCAACTCTGGTGCTCTTCACTGACCCCTCTCTTCTCTTTAAAATCAATTTTAACCGTACAAAATCACATTTTTGGATCGTTAAAAGCAGCTAAGCTACGAGCTAACAGGCTGACCTCAGGGGGGAAAAAACCTCCATCTTGTTTTTCTCTGCAAAAAGAAGCTGCAAACTTGTTCCTTATTTTTTAAAATTAAGCGTTGTGTGACGTAGCTCAAACCACAACGAGCGTCCGCCATTTTGAGGAACGAGAGGCAGCCCATGTCACGTCAAGGGGCCTCCCTCCCATTTTTCTTAAAGAGACACACTGCTTGCTCCCTCACTATCCATCCTTTGGTTCAAACGGTCTTATACTGCCATTCAATGGTCAAAAAAAGTACTACACACAAAAGCGAACCAACATAATTAGTAATTATTGTCAAATTTCAAACCATATCGTTTATCACAATAATTTCTGAGACAATTAATCGTCCAGCAACATTTGTTATCGTGACAGGCTTATTTTTTAGAATGCGTAGCTGCAGGTCGAAATCGTGACAGATCTTTTCGTCTGAAGGGATTTCAAACAAACACGAAGGTCTAATTTATTTTTTTCTACGTATTTCAGGTGCAGTTTTCTCCCGTAGTCCAAGTCCACGTCATGCGGACGTGGTCGTTTGCCCGTCAGGCGTGCCGCAAAGGACACTGGGAAGAAATGGCTCGAGACCGTGACCGCTTCCGGAGGCGGATCGTGGAAACGGAGCAGACCGTTGGGCGCTGTTTCACCCCGGCCCACAGGCGGAAGGTGTGGGCGTACCTGGAACAGACGAAGGCTCCTGAACACTGAATGTTTCATTTCCTTTGAATGAGAACTTGTGATTGGTTGCAATGCAACAGTGATTTTGATTTAGGCCAATTAGAGGTTTGATATGTTCGGCCATTTGTAAATGTTCTGGTGTCGAGTTGAACAACTTTGTACCTCGGAAGGTTTTCTACTTTGTGTAACTGTTGCACTGACTGACACATGTTAACCTCGACATTAATGTGTGGAACGTTGTTTTTGTATGCCTTATACTGACCTAGTAATGTAACTTATTCTTGCCCTATGGAGCTTGTTGTTTATTTTTTTACTGATTATTTAAAGAGTTTGTAATGTGCTTTTATAATTGTGAAGGAACCAGTTTGGTCTAGAAGTTCAAATAGAAAATCACAAGAAATTCACAGTACAAAGTGTTCTGAGAAAAAAAAAATTAAGCATGATTGAATCTGATTTAGTGCTGGTGCGATTCTTGTGCTGTTGACGAGTTTTATTTATTAATGTTTTTGACCTGCGTTTTTATATATTATGTCACATGTTTGTGACCTTTAGTACCAAACATGGAAAAACAAGCGAGTTTATGATGTAATCCTTGTAAAACTTTGGTTAATGTGACTCGCTCGGCTTCTCTTTATAACATTGTGTGGTCAGAAGTTTAACGGCGATTTATGTTGGTACTTTGTGCAATCAATAAAATTTATTAATTCAACTCGGTTTATTTGTATAGCACCAAATCACAACGGTTCATGTTCATACATGACAAAGACGTTAGATCGTGTTGAATCTTCACTTCGTCACAGTCTCCCATCCTGAGCAAGCACAAAGGAGACAGTGGAAAGGAAAACCTCCCTTTTAACGTGAAGAAACCTCCAGCAGAACCAGGCTCAGGACGAGCTGCTTCGACCGGCTGGGTTTGAGAGGACAGGAAGGAGGAACAGATACACAATGGCAGGTCAAGAATCACATGTTAAGATAGAAATAATATCAAATGAAAACTATTAAAGCTTAACAATTCGTTTAAGGAAATGAGGTTAATTTGTCCTCTATTCTAAGCCTATAGCAGCATAACAAGCCAACCCTAACTATAGGATTTATAAAAAAGGAAAGTCTTAAAACTGGACAATGTGTCAGCCTCACGGACAGAAACTGGAAGTTGGTTCCACAAGAGAGGAGCCTGAGAACTGGAAGATCTTCCTCCCGTTCTGCTTTTGCAAACTCTAGGAACCACGAGTAAACCTGCAGTCTGAGAGCGAAGTGCTCTGTCAGGAAAATATGGAACAATAAGATCTGAAGATGGAGCTAGGATGTTGAGAGCTTTGTAGGTTAGAAGTAAGATTTCGAGTTGAATTCTGGATTTGACAGGGAGCCAGTGGAGAGAAGCTGAAACTGGAGAGATGATCTCTCCCAGTAACTCCAGTTAAGACTCTGGCAGCAGCATTTTGGATCAACTGAAGATGTTTTAAATAAGTATTTGGACACTCGGATAATAAACCATGACAGTGATTCAGTCTAGACGTGACAAATAACATGAACCGGTTTTTCTGCATCATTTTTAAATAAGATGTTTTTAATTTAAGTGATGCTACGCAGGTGGAAGAAGGTGGTTCTGGTAACGTTTTTAATGAAGTTTAATTAATAAAAGACATGTCCTGATAGAAAATAACACCGATATTTTTAACATTAGAGCTGGAGGACAGATTAGTGTCATCCAAGGAGGGAGAAAGACTGAAAAATGTATTCCTGAGATGCTCCAGTTTAAAATCAACCCTGGACGTGCTTCAGTCCATCAAAAGGCCACAGAGAGATCCTCAGCCATGAACGTTCTCACTCAGGCTGATTTTGAATTTTCAAATAAACTAATTTGTTTGTTTTTGGTCTGTGGGAGGAAACCAGAGAGAAACGAGCCCAACTTGCAAACTCCATGCAAAAAGTTTCCACATGATCGTCAAACCTGCAGTTTTCTCCTGCAAGGCCTCCAGACCAACCAAACCTGTTTTACAACCTAAACACCAGAAGCAACGTGAGGATTTCACCTAAAACATCTATCTAATCTTTATATTTTTTATTTCAGTCCACAGTGATGGACCTGCGACCCGTCCAGGGCGTACCCCGCCCCTCGCACAGTGATTGCTGGACGTGGGCACCGGCGACCCCCGTGACCCAAAATGGAAGAAGCGGGTAAAAGATGATGGATGGATTTTAGTCCACACATGCATATCAAGGTGCCTTCATCATCCCCCCCCCCCCCCCACACACACACACACACACGCTCAGGAGCTTCTAATCTTCTAATGTTCCCAGCGGGGGGTGAGTCTCTGCGTGTACCGACTGCTGTAAGGCTGTCATCATCAGACACGAGTTAAAAACACGAAGCATGATGAAATGACTTTCCTCTGGGATGAAATCAATTAGCACCCCCCCCCCCCCCCC